GTGTGTGTGGGGGGGGGAGGGAACTGCGCTCTGATCAGGAGAGGAAGTAAATGCAAAGAGAGTGGAGGTTGCAAGACAGATGTGTCGGAATCCGCCTGTGGCATGACTTCCCCATCGGAAGCGGGATATAAAGGTTTATGAACTCAGGCAAAAAAATGAGGTGGTGGGTGGTGGCGGGGGCGGTGGCGGTGGCGGTGGCGATGAGCCACATAAAGATTATGTTATCGACCGCCGCATACCGGCGACCAATTGCTTCGAAGGCAATAGGGCGTGATACCGGGATAGTGCACTGGGAGAAAGAGCAAAGGTGCAATTCGCGTAGACCGAGCGCTCCTTCTCCGGCTGTGCCTTCTGGTGGTAGCAGTAGCCAACCTTGTAGGCTTTGCAGGGCGGTAGCTGGGTCTCCTTGGAATCGCGACCGAGTGGTTTACAGCAGTCAGGCAGATTGTAAAGGGGTTTCGCGTCGCCTGATGGAGGGCAGTTGACGATACTTCCGCCAGCGCCCTGAATGTCCTCCGAAGTGCTGTTCGGAGTTGTCGCGGAGATGGAGGGGAAAATACGACTGTGACTCCATGCACGTCGAGGACACTGCTCGTCGTTAACTTGGCATTCGGCTCCACACGACACAAAGTGACGGTTATGCGCAGTCAACCTGGTGGAATTCTGCAGAGAGGGTTCCGAATCGAGAAGGTTGTAGACGTCGTTGACGGCCGTGTTAATAACCAAAGGGCTTTGCACCATAACACTCTGAAAGGGACAATGACCACACAGAAATGCATTACGAAGTCACTACTACCTGCTGCACTTACGCTGCAAACCAAAGGTCACGAGCGGCAGTTGGCAAGCCGAACTCACTAACGCAACCGGGTTTATTGATCGCACCATGTATTGCTACAAAAAATCGCGTTTTATCATTTGGAACGAAAAATTGGAATAAGTGCTCAATATGGTAAATTTGTTTCTTCATCTTCCGCTAAAGACTTCTGCCAGGTCCGCGGCTCAGTGTGCCGATGTTAGTACCATGTTGACCAATCAAAAATAGAAACTCATAACACCGGCGAGATAGTTCTTTATATGTGAATTGCTTAACTGCATTGTAGGTAATCAGTTGTGTTCTGCATCAGTCGCCCAACGATGCTACATCCGATGTCATCCCATCCGGGTATCTGTCAATGACAAACATTATTTCGATAAGTTATAGCATGTTTAAGCCCTGGATTTAATAAAAAAAGAAATAAAAGAAACACCGCCACGATAAATGGTATACTGTTATATGCCACTCCTTTTCGGACTAATACCTTGGACGACATACAAGTCGGTACCAAGAATGTTCAAGGTAGGCTTCCAATGTTGCGATTTATTCTCCTTCTGCAATAAAAGGGCGTTCATCTGATAGTAGCGTTTGTGGAACTGACCTCAAGATGTGAACAGTAGGGCGCACATGTTAGTTTCGTGAGCGGAAAATAAACTTACCCGCTAAAGATGGCCATCGGACATATTTTATTTCAAACATACTCTCAGTATCGTGATGCCCAAGAAGGTGATTATTTAAGAATACTTGGTTTATGACTCCTCAAGAACTCAAACGATCAAATCAATTCAATTTTGTGAATATTCATTGAATTTCTCTGCCGAGATATGTACGGGATGTGGAATCCGAAATCGGACTGTGTTTAGTTACTTGAACTTAAACCAATGTCCCGTAACTAAGCTCTTAATCAATTAAACCAGCTTGGCTGAGAGTTTTCATGGGCGAAAAATAGAACAAGGAAGTAGATAGTCTGTGACATACGATTCTGTGTTGAATGATGAATTTTTCTTCAGAGAAAATCAAACTTGTTCCTTAAAACTGAAGCCTTTATCCTGTGCATCGTCCGGAGGAAAAGTTTTAAATTTCAAACGTTTATTTAAAGGTCTCACACTCAAGAAGGATCAGGTTTCACGAAATTCAGTCGCACCCTGGTTGCTAAAAGTTTTGGGAGAAGTGAGGAAATCATATTATTTTTAAAGAAGAGTCGCTGCGAAATCCAACTGATGAACTTAATTCTGTCGTCATTTATCATTAGACAAGGGGAATACGTAAACCAGAGGTTCAAATCATTTAAAACAAGAAGGTCATGAGGCCTAACACCTCGGGTTTTCATAACTGGTTGACAATAAAGTGTGCGTGATTGCGTCTGGGATAGTGTTATGGTCTACCAACAATAATAACGACATAGGTTGCGAAAACGAGACTTTTGTTGCTTTGGTGAACAAGCTTGTGATCAGGAGGGGTTCGATCAACTTGCCAAGCTAATTTGTTTCTAGAATACCGATCAATGTGAGGATATCAACTTGAAATACAGAAGTCAGTTGGGTGCGTTGAATGTTTACCAATTAAAACAGATTATCCCTGGCACTTGTTTCGAAGAATTTTCATAGCTTTGAATCAAAAGATCATTCTACTGGACAACAAGCCATGGTAAACCCAAGCGTTTGAATTTTATAACGTGCTCTTAAGATAACAAGGACATAACTACCATCATCATGAAGCAAGAAATATCATAAGTATCCAATCAGTTTTATAATTTCGATCAGGAGTAATCTTGTACGGTCATCATGTTTTGAGTTACGCTTTATGATCAAATTCTTGACGCATGTCATCGAATACCAACGTAAGCCCTGGCGAAAAGTACATTAAGTTTTTTTCAAAATGCAAAAATTCACCAGTTTTACTGAATAAATATCAAAGAAGACTAGCTAGCGAGTGTATGTTTGCTTTCTATAAATTTTCATCGAGCCAATACATTTAGATGTTAACGAGTTCGAGTAAAAACTGTCAGTGACTAGAGGACTCGATTTAAGTTAGTTCTAACACAGGGTGTGGGAAGCAAAGTAAAATGAAAGGTAAACTAACTGAATGCTATCCATCAAACGGCTCAGATAATTAACATTAAAATCAATTGACAGTCGCGAGTGATGCATCCAAGTACTTGGATTTGAGAAATTAAAGTGAAAACAAGAGCTTACAGAGAGCAATCAAAAAGATACCCATATATCTAAAATTTCAATTTCAAAACTTTCAAACTTGCTTGAACAGGAGAATGACGTGAGATAAGAAATAAACTGAGCATAACTGGCCTGGAAGATTCAGGATAGAACAACACAACCGGGGGGGAGAGAGAGGGTAGAAATTGAATCGGCCAACATTCAGCAAAAGCCTGAATTGTTACCGAAAATTTTAAAAACCAGTTTTGCTGGTAGATAGCTGATGACCTAACACAGAGAACCGACTTGTTAGTGAAAAGCCTTATCGTTTAAGCCGTCGTCAGAAGTGCAGAACCCCTATGGCCGTGAAAGGAAATGCTGATGAGAATGCGCCGATAAAGGCAGATTTTAAAAGCAAAGGATTTTGTACGCCTAGTTCAAACTCTGATACCACTGTTATAGTAACTAGTACTCAGCATGCCTCTATCTCGGCAGGAACACGCGTACGACCGCAAGGCGCCGCCTAGTGTAGCGCAGTCGAAAAATAGGCTATAAAAAGCACGCAATAATGTACATATATCCTGAACGCAGGACAAGATGAAAATGGAGCAAGAAGGAAAATCCGTTCTCTCTAGGGGGAAAGAAGGGGACGGGTGGGGCGGGGATGAGCTGAGCTGAGCACGGAAATAACGCGCACTAAAAGTAGAATAGCATCAAAAAGCTAAAAAGCAGAGAAACTTCTCCCCTCTTGACTCGAAAGCGTACGAGGAGTCCTGGTCAAAGCAGTTACATTCAGGCGCACTGTAACACTTGGTTTAGGGAAGAGAACAAGTAGACAGACAGAGCGGATTTGCGGTGTGAAGAGACAATAAAAAGAAGCAGCTGCAGACAAGGACCAAAAGGACGTACGCCTATTGATAAGATTTTCTGATACATCTACTCCCTCGGAAACTTAAAGTTATAATTCAAAGCGAAATACAAGCTGTCAGGGAAACAGTTAGCGGGACATCTAAAAAATGCAGCGGAATAACAATATCTTCATTCGCCGTGTTCCCTACTGGCCAGCCCGCGTACTGAAACTGCCTCCAGTTCCCTTTTCAGAACGATAGTGTGCATGGGTGTGTATAGAAAGAGGGCATTTCACAAATTCGCGACCCAGACAAGACAGCAAAAATCCTCAAAATGCCGTCTAAGCGACCCAACAGACCCAGTCTTTGAGAAGTTGGATATTTAGATCTCTCTCCAGCCCTTGGCTCGTGGCCGAATAAGTCCACATCTCTGACGCAATTCATAGGGCTTGAATCTACCTATTTTCAATTTACTCCCATAATTGTAGTTGTCAGAAGGTCGAATGATCAGTATACCGAACTAAACTATCAGCTAGAGTGGGAGGACTAAGTCAGAGAGAAGCAGTTTACTAACGCAAATCATACTCGACTTACACTTGGGAAGCTCACTGGCCGGAAAAGGTTGGCATGTTGTCCGGAACTGATGTAAGATATTCTCTGTGAGAACTTGCTCGAAGTTCGTATGGGCGGTGAAGGCGGTGTTTCGAATTCAGAGTTCGCCTCCACTGGCGCGCCGTCTGGTTGATCCACCTCTGAATCTGAGCACTCCTGCCAAGCCAGGTTGCTCGCTGGCAGGGTCTGATAGCCGAAAGAGTGACACTGTGGCGAACGCTGCAAATCTGGCGTCAGAGTCAATTTCGGCGGAAATCTCTGATTGACTGACGCCTGACTGTACTTTCTGTGGACCCAAGGCGATGGCGTAGAGATTGTCATGTGATGTGGCCAATTGGAGTGCAGCAACTGCCTGTGACTCTCAGAGTGACGGTGATGCGAGCCCAGTGGATTAGAGGCACTGCCGAAGCAGGTGGCCGCCTGATCAGTGATACAACCTGGTCCACCGGCTTGAGGCAACACAGGACGTGAAGTTCTTCGCCGGGATCGAGAGTTGTAGGCAGTCGATGCGTAGGGAGGACCACAGGCAGTCTTTGTGTCAGTCTCCGGAAAACGAATAAAAAAGTTTTCATTATCTTGCCATTTTTGTGGATGGGAGGGCGAGAAGGTTGTGGCAGGGGCGGAGGAATCATAAAAATGCAGTTTATTTGGTTTTGGGTCTTTGCTCGTGGACTCTGGTAAAGCCATTTGTGACTTGTCCTGGCATCGATTGGCGGAACCACTCAGTAGACGGGTGTAGCCCTCATCCTGCAGAACAGATAACAGTCGTAGGGTTTAGCAAAAAAAAAACACGAGTGTGTAGTTTAAAAAGGACTGCCAGTTTGGAAGATAAGATCTGCCGCTTAATTTGCAGGGAACAGTAAAAACGTCAAAAGGACCAAAAACCGAACAACTACTGGCAGGTTTTAGCATATAGCCTGGCGCCCGAAACAAAACGCGGGCGTGGACGTGGGCGTCGGCGTGCTAGTGCATTTTGGGACAGAGAAACCTGCTACTAAGTAATACAGGGGTTTTAGTTGAATAACCAAGTTGGCAAAAATTCTGACGGGAAAATTGCACTTTAGGGGAGTGTCAGTAGAGGAAAAAAAAGAGGTAAACTCTATAATGCCTAAATCACACCTTATTGAAAACAAACGAAGGAGGACATAATCGGGACTGCAATCTAGGAAAATAAAGAAGATTGCCAGAATGGGATTTCGTAGTGGGAAGCCTGTCATACAAAACCAAAGTAATTTATTCCCTTCACGTTCGTCAACCTTTCAGGTCCCTGGGTCTTTCTCAAGTTTCAGGATCCCTACCTCATTTTCATCGGTTTTGGCTGTTCCAAAAATCAAGCGTTTTTTGCTACAATTAACTTTCGGAAGGGAATTGCACTTCTTTCCATCTAGAGAGATTGGTGGTTCATCCTGCTTTATGGTATTTCGGTAATTATGAATAATTAATCGAACTCGGCTACAGAAAACTGGGTCGGATGGATTACTCAGATTTATCATTTTCTAAGATACCAAAATGAACCTGAAAAGTTAGCTGAATATGCAAAATTTTTATTGGTGGGTCTTAAGTAAGATCCAGAAAGCAGATTAATCGGGGAAGATACAATGTCTTATTGATGCAAAAGTTGCAAATACCCTGTGCAACACCGAAAACCAATGCACCCGAAAGAAACCAAATAGACACAAGCAATCGTATGTATACATTCGTTTTAAAGCTATTAAGGCAAGGCAACGAATACCAGCCGGTCGTAGTGGTTCACTATTTTATATATAGGGTTCGAGTAAGGGAGCACGAAGTAATCATTGGCCACGATTCGAGAAAACCAATTATAAAAAAGGATATGTAAAACTGCCGAATTGCCAGCAAAAAATATTAAAACGCTTAAATTCCATGTAAAGTAAATGGGCGAACAAACGCGACTAGTCAGATAATCTGTGACAGGTGGGAAGGACTTTGATGGGAGGTAAAATGCGGTTGATCGTACAATTCCCAATTTATTTTAAAAGAAGATATTTGATCGTACTTTTAGGAAAAAGGCCAGGTTTATCAGGCGGAAATGGCAGCGGTCAATTAGAGAGCCTTTAAACTGAGATCCGAATCCGCTAAGTCACGACTGTGATTAAAAGCATCCTACTATAGGGGGAAACGGAGAAAGTACCTGCTCGGTAGAGAGCGCACCTGTGGCAGAAAAGTCCAGATGCCATAACCAGATAAACTAGGAGAGTCAAAACTATAGGCCTTTGGATTTTCAAAGCTGGATTGACATTGCTCATCAAATCTACTGTGGCATATGGAATCAACCACACGCATGCAGTAGGCCGATTATCCAAACGAGATCCCCCAAGAGTTGATTGTGCTGAAACTCTGTCATTTCTGACGCAGGTTCAAACTTCGCCATGGCTGCAAGGAGTTTTCGAAACTGGGAAACCAGTTAATGTTTAGTGAGAGCCGAAAGGGTCGCAACTCGCCTGAAAGTGACAGCTCGCACATTTAGCACTGCTTCGTATGTGTTTCCTCGGAGGTGCTGAGGCGGATGATACGTTGGAACGCAGCTGGGGAGGTCTGCCTGGCGCTGATGGTCTCTGAAGGGTGTTTTGTCGGCAAAAGTGATAGTCGGCGCCAGCTGAGGAGAAGTCCGAAGAGGTCTGCATGGGCAAAACTACAGCCTCCGTGAGTAGGACTGAAGAACATGGCGCCGGAGGCTCAGCCAAAAGGCAATTCTCCGTCCAGGAGTCCTTGTGCTGAGGTAAATTACGTATCGACCTCCCCGCTGCCGCTGCCGCACCCTCCTCCTCCTCTTCTTGCTGTTCGGCGTCCTGGAGGAGGTCTAACTTGGTAACGCCTCTGGACGATGGTATGGTCTTCGTCCGACGTTCGAGTACATCGCGACCCAGCCATACCCAGTCATTATCCGCACTCATGGGTTGATTCGAGTCGACCTGTGAGTGTGTGTGTGAGAGGGAAACAGAAAAAAATAGAAAAGCAACTCACGAGTACACACAATTTCTTCGGGCAGTGAACGGATTAAGCCGCTGACAGAAGGGTCTACTGTAAGAAAGAGGATGCAGGATTGCTGTGGAATATACCAGTACCGTTATTGTTGAACTTTAAAAAGGAAAGCTGAGCACAGTGTGAACCTAACAGTGATAGGCTGAAATATTAGTTTTGAAAAGGAATGAATTCATAACCAGAACGCCGGGCACCGCACCAGCATACGTTGTTAAATTCCCACACACTTCCGTCTGTTGTATAGTCGAATATGCGCCAACAGGCGTCTTAAAATAAAGCAATTATTGCTTATCGAATCCATTTAATTGCTCAGTGTTTTCCACAACTATATGACCATCAAAGTTGCACGGAACTTCTTCGACTGCGTCAGGAAGTTCCGGCTTCTGGAAGCTGTAACAATGAATGAGAGAAGGAAAGCAGAATTCGACAACATGCAGTATATTGTGGACAGCCAACAATTCGCTTCAGCTTCCTCATTCAATGCCGACTGCTTCAACGTCATGCAATTTCACAGGCAGCTGTTTCCGATTCGCTGATCTGAAGACCCCTGACCGGCTTTCACTCGCACACACGCGTACGCACACAAGCGCGTACAAATGGTCACGGCTGCCCAAGGGCCACTTAAGCACGCCACCCCTCGGCCAACGCAGAATGGGCCTCTATACGTGACACCCCTTCGGGCAATGCAACACACCAAATGTACACTACTTGGACTCGCTCCATAATCATACAAAAGCAGTTGTCACTACTGTCTCACATGCTTAGGTCTGACAGGACACAGTAAACACTGGCACTGGCATCGCCAGTGGCTACTGCTGCCTGAGATAGAAACCCAGAGTTCCGTACGCAATAAATCCCCCACTCTGATATCTTCTGTTTTTTTCCAACAACTTGGGAGTAGGCCTGGTGGTTGTGGTGTTTTGAGTACAAACGCTGCTCCGAAATTAAAATATAATGCAAAAATAACTGTCAATGTTTAGGTACCCTAAGACTGACCAGCAGGATCCCTATTGCAACAAATGGGTCTCAAAACTGTTCTATGCTGCTAGAAAGTGACGGCTAAAATTTTTTGAAGGATACTTTGCCTGGAACGCCACTACCAGAAGAGTTTTCTGACTAAGAATTTAGTTAATACCTAATTTCCTTTGGTAGATTGGCGCTCACCGATTGGAACGGAACTCACTCATTCCGCTGTGTTGCACCTTAGGATTGCTCTCGAGTCAACCAGCATCCATTCAATGACTAACGAAGTGCAGACAGACATATATCTCCGACAAAGACAAGGGAGATTGGAATGGCCATTTTTGGCCTATTAGCCGTCATCAGCCAACCATACCAAACTCCAAGGGTTGCCACCCCCTCGGTTCGAACCGACGACCTTGCTAGCCAGAAGTCCAACTCCCTGACCACCGAGCCAGCGGCTCGTTGCCTTACCAGTTTCGATCAGAAATGTATTTCAGCCTATACTTTGCTAGTTGTTGAGCAGTTGCTGGCTGGGCGCGAGGGCGAATCCCAAGGCACAACAGAGTGAATGAGTTCCTTACTGATCGGTGTGCGCCCAGCTACCATTGTGTATATTCCCAATCAAAAATTGGCAAGGCAACGAGCCCCTAGCTTGGCGGTTAGAGCGTTGGACTTCTAACTAACAAGGTCGCGGGTTCGAACCTCGGAGGTGACAACCCTTGGGGTTAGGTATGCCTGGATGATGTTGGCTAATAAGCCAGAAATGGCCATTCCAGTCTCCTTTATTTTTGTCGGAAATGTATTTCTGCCCATAATATTTTTATTTTTGTACCTTTCCTCCTCTGGACTAATCGAAACTGCATCTCGCAAGTAATTTCGTTCAAGAGGTTTTGCCACCTAATATGATCATTTTGGGACATAACATTTTATACATCTTAACCAAACCTAGAAGTTGATGAATGTCAAAGCAGTTAGAAGTCAGTTTTGTCGTGCGCATGGAACATTATGTACTGCATGAAGAAATGCCTCTTTATAATTCTCGTGGAGAATACAAAAAGTTGCTAACAGTTTCTGTTATAGCTTGAAGAAAGCACGATGGAAGTAAGGTTATTCGGTGGAATCTTAGTTTGGGTCCCAGAAATTGTTTAAATAATATCATATTTTCGCAAAAAATAGCACGCTATAAATAAATACAGTAATTACTCATACTTCTTACTTATAGTTTCTTGGGTGTGAAAAATTTGGGCAATTTTTACTGACTTTGAATTTATGGTTTATTGAGTTTCTTGAGAGTAATGATAAAAATTGGTGGTTAAGAGGTCGTTTACTGAAAATTACCTGAGGTCCAACTTACCATTCTGGAGTTAGATTAGTATAGTTCGCGGCGTGAAGCGTCGCACACACCTTCAATTCACATATGCAACAACTTTACATTAGTTTATTTTATTTGATTTATTTGACTTATTTATATTTAAGTTCAGTTTTCACTTTATTTTTCAGTTCACTATTATGTCTACTTTTTTCGTTTTTTTTGTTTCATATTATTTTTAAGTAAAACTAGTTTAGGTTACTTTAGTTATCGTTTTTAGTTAGTTGATTTTACTTTTATTTAGTTATCTTAAATTTAGTTATTTCCCAATGTTTACATAATTGCACATTTTAACTGCGGCGAGCTTTTTTTGACAAAAATTGGGGCATTTAAATAATTATTCCTGTTTTTTCTAATTTTATTAACAATTTTTATTTATATTTCCTTTCCTTTGTATTGCCCAGACTGTATACTCTTTATTTCATCCGGTTCTGTATTACAGAAGGATGGGGCTTTCGGGTGCTGATCTAGGACTCAAACTAGGATTCTACCGGTTATTCATATGTTTCAACGCGATGACCCCCGGTTACGCACGTTTATTCTCCGGTCTGTCTTTCTTTCCACAGAGATCCCCATGATCGACCACTACAGCCACGGCGAGAACTAATTATTTAAGTTAAACCCAAAGTCAAGAAACTTTTCGCGCCTGTCGTATGTTTTTGGGTTAACAAGCATTCTTTGATAGAGGACCGGTGGAGCGGGTGTACCACGAAAAACCGGTCAAAAAAGAAATCCAACGTAACTATCCCAACATCTATCTTCGGGAAAGGCCGCATTTACCCTGGATTTAAGAAAAGCAGATGGGTAAACTTCGAACAGGGAGATTACCTGGGACAGAAATGAGTCACTAACGGACGATTTAAGCTGAATCTGAAAAGGATTGATTGCTAGAGTTTTCATAGGAATAAAAACATGACATAAAGCCAGTTTGATTCCTCACCACAGCAAGCCGACCTATTAATGAATATTCACTTAAGGATCACCCTTGAGTGAGTTCCATAAGCGATCGGTTTAAGTTGATCAACGAGAGACAAGTTAGCCCAAAAGGAAGACCTATTTGCTTACGGGAATCGGTGATTGCCAGATATCTAAATTGTGGTCAAAATATTAAGCCAAAGTACCTGGTCAGACTTCAAATATCCTCAGCGAAATAATAGAAAAATAGTGCATGGGTCGGGCACCTACTCTTCTACTAAAACGTCTCCCGAAGGTTCTCCAGACAGAAAGGAAGGCAGTTTTCCAGTCGCTAGGGGAGTTGATAACAGCCGGCTCAGTAAAGAACTCAGAATGTGAAGAATGGTAGTCTTGGGCTACAGTTGGGCCTGAACTTTCCATTGCGGAGTCCTCATTGTGACCGTTCATGGCCAACTCCGAGAGATGCTGAAGCCGGTAGGCCTCCTTGGCAATGCGAGCATGCTCCCACCTGTAGCGAGCTACCATGGCACCGCAGTTTACGGCAAAGATCAGAGCTATGAGGACAAAGAGTCCAAGCAGAATGTACATGGTCAATTCCAGGGCAGGCCTGTTGGTAGACACCCCAGATTTTCGCAGCAGTGCGTTCGAGTCTTCGCTGGCAGCCACAATTCTTCCGTTCTCTGTGTGCGTCAATCTCTCATTTGGGGACTCGGAATCGTTGGCGGGGAGAGTCGCAACAGGGCTAAACTTCTTTGAAGCCTCAAACAAGGAGGACGGCTTGGATGGATCGCGTGGAGAACCCTTGGCCTTTTCAGCAAATTGCTTAGCCGCCAGATAGTCGTCTGCCGTACGATAGCCCGAAGGACGCATGCCAGGAGCATCTTTG